TTAATAATACTAATAAAATGACTATATTTGTAAAAATAATAAATGGAATTGTCTTTTCTTTTTGACATTATAGAGTATTTTGTATAGATCAATGATTTTTTTTAAACACACAGTCGTTGTTTTTTCTTTTTTCTTTATTTTTTCTGTATTTAACCAGGTAAGCCAGTTGAGAACAAGTTCTCATTTACAACTGCGACCTGGCCAAGATAAAGCAAAGCAGTGCGATAAAAACAACAACAACACAGAGTTACATATGGGATAAACAAAAACGTACAGTCAATAACACAATAGAAAAATAGAAAATCTTTATACAGTGTGTGCAAATGTAGTAAGTTATGGAGGTAAGGCAATAAATAGGCCATAGTGCAAAATAATTAAATTTAGTATTAACACTGGAGTGATAGATGATGTGCAAATAGAGATACTGGGGTGCAAATTAGCAAAATAAATAACAATATAGGGATGAAGTAGTTGGGTGGGCTAATTACAGATGGGCTGTGTACAGGTGCAGTGATCGGTAAGCTGCTCTGACAACTGACGCTTAAAGTTAGTGAGGGAGATAAGAGTCTCCAGCTTCATAGAATTTTGCAGTTTGTTCCAGTCATTGGCAGCAGAGAACTGGAAGGAATGGCCGCCAAAGGAGGTGTTGGCTTTGGGGATGACCAGTGAGATATACCTGCTGGAGCGCAGACTACGGGTGGGTGCTGCTATGGTGACCAATGAGCTAAGATAAGGCAGGGATTTGCCTAGCAGTGATTTATAGATGACCTGGAGCCAGTGGGTTTGGCGACGAATATGTAGTGAGGGCCAGCCAACGAGAGTGTACAGGTCACAATGGTGGGTAGTATATGGGGCAAAACGGATGGCACTGTGATAGACTAAATCCAATTTGCTGAGTAGAGTGTTGGAGGCTATTTTGTAAATTACATCGCAGAAGTCAAGGATCGGTAGGATAGTCAGTTTTACGAGGGCATGTTTGGCAGCATGAGTGAAGGAGGCTTTGTTGCGAAAGAAGAAGCCGATTCTAGATTTAACTTTGGATTGGAGATGCTTAATGTGAGTCTGGAAAGAGAGTTTACAGTCTAACCAGACACCTAGGTATTTGTAGTTGTCCACATATTCTAAGTCAGACCCGCCGAGAGTAGTGATTCTAGTCGGGTAGGCGGGCGCAAGCAGCATTCGATTGAAGAGCATGCATTTAGTTTTACTAGCGTTTAAGAGCAATTGGAGGCTACGGAGGGAGTGTTGTATGGCATTGAAGCTCGTTTGGAGGTTTGTTAACACAGTGTCCAATGAAGGGCCAGATATATACAAAATGGTGTTGTCTGCGTAGAGGTGGATCTGAGAGTCACCAGCAGCAAGAGCGACATCATTGATATACACAGAGAATAGAGTCGGACCGAGAATTGAACCCCGTGGCACCCCCATAGAGACTGCCAGAGGTCCAGACAACAGGCCCTCCGATTTGACACATTGAACTCTATCTGAGAAGTAGATAGTGAACCAGGCGAGGCAGTCATTTGAGAAACCAAGGTTATTTAGTCTGCCAATAAGAATGCAGTGGTTGACAGAGTCGAAAGCCTTAGCCAGGTCGATGAAGACGGCTGCACAGTACTGTCTATTATCGATCGCGGTTATTATATCGTTTAGGACCTTGAGCGTGGCTGAGGTGCACCCATGACCAGCTCGGAAACCAGATTGCATAGCGGAGAAGGTACGGTGTGATTCGAAATGGTTGGTGATCCGTTTGTTAACTTGGCTTTCAAAAACTTTTGATGAAGATAATAATATGCCATTTAGCAGACGCTTTTATCCAAAGCGACTTACAGTCACGTGCGCATACATTTTTACATATGGGTGGTCCCAGGGATCGAACCCACTACCCTGGCGTTACAAGCGCCATGCTCTACCAATTGAGCTACAGAGGACCACGAGATGGCTGCACAGTACTGTCTTTTATCGATCGCGGTTATAATATCGTTTAGGACCTTGAGCGTGGCTGAGGTGCACCCATGACCAGCCAGGAAACCGGATTAAATAGCGGAGAAGGTTTTGCAGCTCTTTCAGAACATCAGCTGTCTGAATTTGTGTGAAGGAGAAGCGGGGGGGGGGGGGGGGGGCATGTGCAAGTTGCAGCAGAGGGTGCAGAGCTGGTGGCCCGGGGTAGGGGTAGCCAGGTGGAAAGCATGGCCAGCCGTAGCAAAATGCTTGTTGAAATTCTCGATTATCGTCGATTTATCGGTGGTGACAGTGTTTCCTAGCCACAGTGCAGTGGGCAGCTGGGTGGAGGTGCTCTTATTCTCCATGGACTTTACAGTGTCCCAAAACTTTTTGGAGTTAGTGCTACAGGATGAAAATTTCTGTTTGAAAAAGCTAGCCTTTGCTTTCCTAACTGATTGTGTATATTGGTTCCTGACTTCCCTGAAAAGTTGCATTTTGCGGGGGCTGATCGATGCTAATGCAGTACGCCACAATATGTTTTTGTGCTGGTCAAGGGCAGTCAAGTATGGGGTGAACCAGGGGCTATATCTGTTCTTAGTTCTGAATTTTTTGAACGGGCATGCTTATTTAAGATGGAGAGGAAAGCACTTTTAAAGAACAACCAGGCATCCTCTACTGACGGAATTAGGTCAATATCCATCCAGGATACCAGGGCCAGGTCAATTAGAAAGGCCTGCTCGCTGAAGTGTTTTAAGGAGCGTTTGACAGTGATGAGGGGTGGTCGTTTGACCGCGGACCCATTACGGACGCAGGCAATGAGGCAGTGATCGCTGAGATCCTGGTTGAAGACAGCGGAGGTGTATTTAGAGGGTAAGTTAGTCAGGATGATATCTATGAGGGTGCCCATGTTTACAGATTTAGGGTTGTACCTGGTAAATTCCTTGATAATTTGTGTGAGATTGAGGGCATCTAGTTTAGATTGTAGGACGGCCGGGGTGTTATGCATATCCCAGTTTAGGTCACCAAGCAGTACGAACTATGAGGATAGATGGGGGGCAATCAATTCACATATGGGCACAGCTGGGGGCTGAGGGGGGTCTGTAGCAAGCGGCAACAGTGAGAGACTTATTTCTGGAAAGGTGGATTTTTAGAAGTAGAAGCTCAAACTGTTTGGGCACAGACCTGGATAGAATGATAGAGCTCTGCAGGCTATCTCTACAGTAGATTGCAACTCCGCCCCCTTTGGCAGTTCTATCTAAATGTTGTAGTTGGGGATGGACATTTCTGAATTTTTGGTGGCCTTCCTAAACCAGGATTCAGACACTGCTAGAACATCAGGGTTGGCGGCGTGTGCTAACGCAGTGACTCAAACTTAGGGAGGAGGCTTCTGATGTTAACATGCAAGAAACAATGATAGTGGTGATGATAATCTCATCTGAGATATGATGATAGTGGTGATGATAATGGTTATACAGAGATCAAATTATATTAAAGTGAAATCTATTTCAATCCCACTTTGTAACGTAACAAAATGTGAACAAATCCAAAGGGGGTGAATACTTACGGTACCCACTGTATCTCTTTATAACCATTATCATCACCACTATCATCATATCTCAGATGAGATGATCATCAGCTCTTGTGCCTCAGGTAGAAGGTTATACTGTAGGTAATAGGTATGAACTAGAATTGAGATTGTTATTGATTCATATCTATGATATTTTCCCTTTCAATTATTGTACTGATTCAGGTACTGCTTACAGCTACAGATACAAAATGGTCGCCATGTGTGTGGGGGGAGGGGGGAGGGGCTACAACTGAAGGAGAAACAACACAGCTTCAGGATATATAACAGATATGAACAGCAGAAGCAGATCTAGTGCTGTATGGTGTGCTATACATTTGACACACTCATGGTCTGGTCTGTCTTAATCTAATCACCCATGCATACTCTCTGTGAAACATATTCATTTTCAATTCATTCAAGTCAATGTTGGAGGATCTCTGAAACTTGGCTGCTCTACTGAAATACCAGAACATACCTTATTCTAACTGCACAAGTGTTGCAATTACAAACTAGTGGGGAAACACTAGAACATATTCACTCTATTAACACTCTACTGCCTCCTTTTGGCCAAGTGTTGCAATTACAAGCTATTGGGAGACGTTGCCATTAGCACAGGAATATATTTGATTTAGCAACATTGTACAGGAGCCATAAACAGCAATTCAACATCAACATTAACATTTTAAACTCTATTTAACATATATGTCTCTATATATTTCAATACTAGGGTAACAATACTTTTTTAAATTCACAGTGATTGTGAGAAGGTAACACATTTTAATCAACAGTAAACTGTGTGAGAAGTGTTAAAAGGCATAGAACATGTAGGATACAGTATGTAGTAGTCTTTCACCAATGATTCACATTTAAAACATGGTTCAATCGCTGTGGCACATTATGGGAAATTAAATGAATCCATGTAACATGCAGCCTACAACCTAGCCATAGCATACAGTATGTGAGAGTTGACTAAATACTGCACCTGTATAAACACCAACCATGCCACAAACGAAATGACACAGTTCAAATATGCACTTCACTTCAAGTAAACATAATGGGGTGGTTTCCTGGACAACGATTAAGCCTAGTCCTAGAAACTAAAAAGCAAGCTCAGTGGAGAATCTCCATTAAAGTCGGACATAGCAAGTCAAACTTGAACATACTTTTCTATTTTATACAACTGAAGAAGTGCTTTTTAAAAACAGAAAAACTGTACAAGAAGAGGCCTCTTAAGGAATGTGAAAGAAACAAACTTTGACACGTTAGTTTTCACATCGTCCTGTCTGGCGTTAGCAGCTAAGCTACCTCTCCACAGCAAAGTGGAACTGGGAAGCTCCTTCCCTCACTGGAACATATCCAAAGGCTACAGGGAGAAGTTTCCCATTGGTACAGATCTAGGAACAGCCTCTCTTCCCCCAATCCTAAACTTAACCTTTAGTGGGGGAAAAACTGACCCAAGGTCAGTGCCAAGGCAGGGGAAACTTCACCCTACTCATCTGAAGGAGAGAGGCTGAACTTTTCCAAAAAAGCTCTGGTCCAGGAGTGTGTTCCTGTAGTGGCCAGAGACAGACAGGTCCTCCTCAGAAAAAGGGAGGGACAGCAGAAAAGAGATCTCACCGTCTTCTGTAGGCTCAGGTTGTCTGTGTTTCAGTGGTAAGACTAGTGTTCAAACAGGTAACGTTACTGTCACTGGAACAGGAGCTCAGGCTTAGCTGCAGTAACGGAACACTGTGGGGACTGGCTATGTTAATTGATACTGCGTTTAAGTTACAGTTTAAGGCGGCCATATTGTCATTGTCACAAGGCAAATACTAAGGCTGGGTCTACTCTCTCACAGCTCTAGGCCTCGTTGGAACAGCAGTGTTTCTCAGGACCTCCATGGGTGTGAAGTTACTCTGGGTGAACTGACTGAAGGGGAAACTCTCCTCCCACAGATCCAGATCCAGGTTCTCTGAGACCCTCTGGACCAGATTCAGGCTCCACGGATCTCTGTTTCTATCTCTGGTCAGTCTGGGAATGGGGTCTCTGGAGTCTCTGGTCAGGCTTGGGATGGGGTCTCTGGAGTCTCTGATGGGGCTGGGGTTGGGTTCTCCGGAGTCTCTGGTCAGGCTGGGGGTTGGGGTCTCTGGAGTCTCTGGTCAGGCTGGGGCTGGGGTTGGGGTCTCTGGTGTCTCTGGTCAGGCTGGGGCTGGGGTTGGGATCTCTGGAGTCTCTGGTCAGGCTGGGGCTGGGGTTGGGGTCTCTGGAGTCTCTGGTCAGGCTGGGGCTGAGGTTGGGGTCTCTGGAGTCTCTGGTCAGGCTGGGGCTGAGGTTGGGGTCTCTGGAGTCTCTTGTCAGGCTGGGGCTGGGGTTGGGGTCTCTGGAGTCTCTGGTCAGGCTGGGGCTGGGGTCTCTGGAGTCTCTGGTCAGGCTGGGGTTGGGGTTGGGGACTCTGGTGTCTCTGGTCAGGCTGGGGTTGGGGTCTCTGGTCAGGCTGGGGCGGGGTCTCTGGAGTCTCTGGTCAGGCTGGGGCTGGGGTTGGGGACTCTGGTGTCTCTGGTCAAGCTGGGGTTGGGGTCTCTGGTCAGGCTGGGGTTGGGGTCTCTGGAGTCTCTGGTCAGGCTGGGGTTGGGGTCTCTGGAGTCTCTGGTCAGGCTGGGGCTGGGGTTGGGTCTCTGGAGTCTCTGGTCAGGCTATGTCTGGAGTCTCTGGTCAGTCTGGGGCTGGGTCACTGGTGTCTCTGGTCAGGCTGGGGTTGGGGTCTCTGGTCAGGCTGGGGTCTCTGGAGTCTCTGGTCAGGCTAGGGTTGGGGTCTCTGGAGTCTCTGGTCAGGCTGGGGTTGAGGTCTCTGGTCAGGCTGGGGGTGGGGCAAGGGTTGGGGTCACTGGAGTCTCTGGTCAGGCTGGGCCTGGGGTCTCTGGAGTCTCTGGTCAGGCTGGGGTTGGGGTCTCTGGAGTCTCTGGTCAGGCTGGGGGTGGGGCAGGGGTTGGGGTCACTGGAGTCTCTGGTCAGGCTGGGCCTGGGGTCTCTGGAGTCTCTGGTCAGGCTTGGGTTGGGGTCTCTGGAGTCTCTAGTCAGGCTTGGGTTGGGGACTCTGGAGTCTCTGGTCAGGCTTGGGTTGGGGTCTCTGGAGTCTCTAGTCAGGCTCGGGTTGGGGTCTCTGGAGTCTCTGGTCAGGCTGGGGGTTGGGGTCTCTGGTCAGGCTGGGTGGGGCTAGGGATGGTGTCTCTGGTCAGGCTGGGCCTGGGGTCTCTGGAGTCTCTGGTCAGGCTGGGGCTGGGGTCTCTGGAGTCTCTGATGGGGCTGGGGTTGGGGTCTCCGGAGTCTCTGGTCAGGCTTGGGCGGGGGTCTCTGGTCAGGCTGGGGCTGGGGTTGGGGTCTCTGGAGTCTCTGGTCAGGCTTGGGATGGGGTCTCTGGAGTCTCTGGTCAGGCTGGGGTTGGGGTCTCCGGAGTCTCTGGTCAGGCTGGGGTTGGGGTCTCTGGTCAGGCTGGGGCTGGGGTTGGGGTCTCTGGAGTCTCTGGTCAGGTAGGGGCTGAGGTTGGGGTCTCTGGAGTCTCTGGTCAGGCTGGGGCGGGGTCTCTGGAGTCTCTGGTCAGGCTGGGGCTGGGGTTGGGGACTCTGGTGTCTCTGGTCAGGCTGGGGTTGGGGTCTCTGGTCAGGCTGGGGTTGGGGTCTCTGGAGTCTCTGGTCAGGCTGGGGTTGGGGTCTCTGGAGTCTCTGGTCAGGCTGGGGCTTGGGTTGGGGTCTCTGGAGTCTCTGGTCAGGCTATGGCTGGGGTCTCTGGAGTCTCTGGTCAGTCTGGGGCTGGGTCACTGGTGTCTCTGGTCAGGCTGGGGCTGGGGTTGGGGACTCTGGTGTCTCTGGTCAGGCTGGGGTTGGGGTCTCTGGTCAGGCTGGGGTCTCTGGAGTCTCTGGTCAGGCTTGGGTTGGGGTCTCTGGAGTCTCTGGTCAGGCTGGGGTTGGGATCTCTGGAGTCTCTTGTCAGGCTGGGGCTGGGGTTGGGGACTCTGGAGTCTCTGGTCAGGCTGGGGTTGGGTCTCTGGAGTCTCTAGTCATGCTCGGGTTGGGGTCTCTGGAGTCTCTGGTCAGGCTGGGGGTTGGGGTCTCTGGTCAGGCTGGGGGTGGGGCTAGGGATGGGGTCTCTGGTCAGGCTGGGCCTGGGGTCTCTGGAGTCTCTGGTCAGGCTGGGGCTGGGGTCTCTGGAGTCTCTGGTCAGGCTGGGGTTGGGGTCTCTGGAGTCTCTGGTCAGGCTGGGGTTGGGGTCTCTGGAGTCTCTGGTCAGGCTGGGGGTTGGGGTCTCTGGAGTCTCTGGTCAGGCTGGGGGTGGAGTTGGGGTCTCTGGAGTCTCTGGTCAGGCTGGGGCTGCGGTCTCTGGAGTCTCTGGTCAGGCTGGGGTTGGGGTCTCTGGAGTCTCTGGTCAGGCTGGAGTTGGGGTCTCTGGAGTCTCTGGTCAGGCTGGGGGTTGGGGTCTCTGGAGTCTCTGGTCAGGCTGGGGGTGGAGTTGGGGTCTCTGGAGTCTCTGGTCAGGCTGGGGCTGGAGTTGGGGACTCTGGAGTCTCTGGTCAGGCTGGGGCTGGGGTCTTTGGAGTCTCTGGTCAGGCTGGGTGGGGATGGGGTCTCTGGAGTCTCTGGTCAGGCTGGGGGTTGGGGTCTCTGGAGTCTCTGGTCAGGCTGGGGCTGGAGTTGGGGACTCTGGAGTCTCTGGTCAGGCTGGGGCTGGGGTCTTTGGAGTCTCTGGTCAGGCTGGGTGGGGATGGGGTCTCTGGAGTCTCTGGTCAGGCTGGGGCTGGGGTCTCTGGAGTCTCTGGTCAGGCTGGGTGGGGATGGGGTCTCTGGAGTCTCTGGTCAGGCTATGGCTGGTGTCTCTGGTGTCTCTGGTCAGGCTGGGGATGGGGTTGGGTCTCTGGAGTCTCTGGTCAGGCTGGGGTTGGGGTCTCTGGAGTCTCTGGTCAGGCTGGGGTTGGGGTGTCTGGTCAGGCTGGGGTTGGGGTCTCTGGAGTCTCTGGTCAGGCTGGGGTTGGGGCTAGGGTTGGGGTCTCTGGAGTCTCTGGTCAGGCTGGGGCTGGGTCTCTGGAGTCTCTGGTCAGGTTGGGGCTGGGGTTGGGATCTCTGGAGTCTCTGGTCAGGCTGGGCCTGAGGTTGGGGTCTCTGGTCAGGCTGGGGCTGGGGCTAGGGTTGGGGTCTCTGGAGTCTCTGGTCAGGCTGGGGCTTGAATTGGGGTCTCTGGAGTCTCTGGTCAGGTAGGGGCTAGTGCTGGGGTCTGTGGTAGGGCTGGGGTCTATACTCAGACCCATCAGGATACAGTCTGACTCCTCTCCGTCTCTATCTGCAACCATCTCTGTGTCCATCTCCTCCTCCTGACCAGGCTGCTCCATGGACCCAGTCTCACAGGCTTCCTCCATCACCGACCCAGGCCTGGATCCCTGAGAGGGGTCTTGGCAGGGGACTCAAACACCACCCACTCTGGGTCGAGGGGTTTGGATTGGTTTGGCATGGCAGGTTACTGTAGCCTGGAAAGCTAGACTGACCCGTGACTTGAACCTGCAACTCAGGCCAGCCCTTCATGTAATGCTGGACTAACTCAGGAACCAGGACCTCATGGCGTTTTCTCCTAGGCAGCAGGGCGAAGAAGGAGGGGATGCCAGAGGTAGGGCTGCCTACGATGGGGACCAGGGAGGTGGGCCAAAGAGCCGAGATGAAGTCCTCCTGTTCCTGGCAGTAGGAGGGATGAGTTTGATATTTATGAAAACACTTCTACGCAGCGTTTCTCATAGGATATCAAGTCAGAATCATTTGCATGCTTGTCCACGTCTCTGTATGCTGAATTAAGAGGTCCAATATATCCCCTTCACAAGCCCTGGTAGTTTAATCTAACTTCAAACTTTATGTTAGCTAATCTATCTTGGACAGCCAACTACTAGCATGCAAACAAAGCCATATATTTAGCTAATCTAGTTTGGACAGCCAAACTACTAGCATGCAAGTTAAGAGGCCAATATCTCCCCCAAGCACACAAGCCCTGGTTGCTTGCCGTGATCATATAATGGTGAGTACTCTGCATTGTGGTGACAGCAACCCTGGTTTGAATCTAGATCACAGCATTGCAATACATCAAGGCATAAGGGCTCTCTTTGAATGAGTTGGAACTTCCTGACCGTGTAATCTAACCAGCAAGTCTAAAAAGCTCTGCATGGTCAAACCGACGTCTGAAGTGGCCGTACAGCTGTGATGCAGCCTCCGCAGACGTCATGGCTTTCATACTTCATACTAGCTTTTGTGAAGGAAGTGAGTTTGTGTCCATACAGAATGTACGCAATTTGATTTGGACTCTGCATGCCTCCGGAGGCTCCGCAACACCCTACATACGAAGCCTCCGACCACAAATCGCGGATCAAGCATAAATTGGCTTTAAGTGTAAGCTAACTAACTGTGTAACTGAACAACTCTGGCAGTCCGCCAGGTCATGGTAGGAGGGAGGATTTAGATTATTTAATCCATTTAATCGCTTAGTCAATCAACAGTTTCCATATCGATTCCAAAATGTGATTGATATTTTTCCATTACTGTACAGAGATATGAGTTAAATTACTTATTTATTGAAGAAAAATATACTTGCTACAACTGTGATGTGGGTGCCTCACCTAGCTATTTTAAGATGAATGCACTAACTGTAAATCGCTCTGGATAACAGCATCCACTAAATGACAAAAAATGTAAATGCAACACAATTCTGTTTTGATTTAAAATAAGTGTGGCTTTTGACCCCAGTGAAAGATACTACAACTACTGCCGCTGTGGCTTAGTTGGTAAAAGTGCCTGTCTAGTAAACAGAAGATCCTGAGTTTGAATCTCCACAGGGCCTTTATAAGCCTTTCATTGTACTGTATACAATGTGCTGTATCCTGTAAATTGGTCAAGTATAGAAGCACACCTCTTCCAAAATAAAACAAATCAGGAAAACTTTAATCAAATCGGCCCTAGCAACCATCAGCTAGGCCTAATTGATTATGAAAAACTTCCAGGTGGTGTATTGTACATCAAGCTGCCTCACGCTACAGAAACAGATGGCCTCCTTCCCTATGGGCCGTTCTGGCTCAGGCTTACTACACTACCAGGTCCTGTGGCTTAGTTGGTTAAAGCGCCTGTCTAGTAAACAGGAGATCCTCAGTTTGAGTTTCAGCAGTGCCTTTGAAGCATTGCATTGTATAGGGCTCTATAAAATAAACGTGGAAGGGATCATGGGATTCAAAAATGTTTTGGAACTTAGTAGGTAATCAACTAAATGTATTGAACTTATTAGAAAATGCATTAATTTGCCAAAGTTAATCATAGGACATGAACAAAATGCATCAGTGATTTTGTATTTTTCTGAAACGGCACAGGAATGACGGTCTGTGTGTGTTGTGTGGCGCGCGTATGTCTAGTCTACAATTTGTGTGGCCGTTAGATTAGATTTTAATAGTCACATGTACAGGGTTGTAGATGTACAGTGCATTCAGAAAGTATTTCCGACCCCTTCACTTTTTCCACATTTTGTTACGTTACAGCCTCATTCTAAAATGGATTAAAAAAATTAAAATCCCTTATCAATCTACACACATTACCCCATAATGACAAAGCAAAAACAGGTTTTTAGAAATGTTTGCACATTTATTACAAATAAAAAACGTACATTTCACATTTACAGACGTATTCAGGCCCTTTACTCAATAATTTGTTGAAGCACCTTTGGCAGCGATTACAGCCTCGAGTCTTCTTGGGTATGACGCTACAAGCTTAGCATACCTGTATTTGGGGAGTTTCTCCCATTCTTCTCTGCAGATCTTCTCAAGCCCTGTCAGGTTGGATGGGGAGCGTCGCTGCATAGCTATTTTCAGGTCTCTCCAGAGATGTTCGATTGGGTTCAAGTCCAGGCTTGTCACAAAGCCACTCCTGCATTGTCTTGGCTGTGTGCTCAGGGTCGTTGTCCTGCTGGAAGGTGAACCTTTCGCCCCAGTCTGAGGACCTGAGCACTCTGGAGCAGGTTTTCATTAAGGATCTCTCTGTACTTTGCTCCGTTCATCTTTCCCTCGATTCCTGTCTCCCAGTCCCTGCCGCTGAAAAACATCCCCACAGCATGATGCTGTTATACATGTGGGTAAATCATTTATAGATGATTTGATAGTTCACTCAAGAGCTTAGACATACTTATAGGCAGTATTTGGGATTAATCACTGCATACAAGAGAGAAGATTCAACACTTTGTTAAACATGTTCAGTCAATGAATGGTGGGTATGAAGACCAAAACATTCAACATTTGTTTCACCAACCAGAGGTATCAGTTACCATTTCACACCAGGGCGTTCACCATACTTGGGACTATCACAGAGAAATGGTAAGTATGTTGATAAAATCTGGTAAGGGGTCATATGTAAGGAATGATGATTGAATAACGTCCTGGATGTAAGTTTGGCCAGGGCATCAGGGTTTCAAAGGTGGAGACAGCGGTCCTCTGTAGCTGAATTGGTAGAGCATGGCGGTTGTAACGCCAGGGTAGTGGGTTCGATCCCCGGGTCCACCCATACGTAAAAATGTATGCACGCATGACTGTAAGTCGCTTTGGATAAAAGCGTCTGCTAAATGGCTTATTATTATTAAGACACATCATGAAAACCAACCTCTTCTGTTCCTGGGACAGAGCACCAATGCAGCACACCCAAAAGTGAGAAAATAACTATTCTTTAACTGTGCAACTGTTGAAAAGAAGGTTGCATGATGATACATAAGGGTTAATCTTATAAGCATTTGTAAGTACATTTATAAATGGTTAATAACTGGAGGTAAATATTGGCTCACTATTTGGCAAACTGACCAGTTATTGCACTATTTTGACCAATGCGATATAACCGTTATTAATGGTTTATAATGCATTAACAAATGATTAAATAATTATGAATAACGTATTTATAACCCCTTCATGAACTCTTTACAAATGGAACCTTATTGTAAAGTGTTACCGTGGTTCCCTGATGTGGTTTAAACATTGTTGTGTGGACTTAGAATATTAAATGTAGTTGTTTTTTTTTTTTCTTCCCCCCCCCAAAAAATGGAGTAAACGGAAACCTAGAAAATCCACCAAAAACAGAGAAAACGGATTTCGGGAACAAAATACAGCGGAATCAGGGTAACTGACTTTAAAGGGCCCTCGGTGTACTGTGTACACTACTCTGTATTCTGTGCATATGACAAATAAACTTTGACTGAAGTAAGCGTTTGTTGAGTATGCACGCGCACCTCTCAATATATTCTGACAGGAAAACTCAAGATGTATTAGTTGAGAAAAACAAACTTTGATTAATCAACTGATTTGGCCATAACAACCATCAACTAATTGATTCTGAAAAACATGTGTTGAACTTATCCCTACTAGCGTCTTGTCCAAGGGGTGTACTTGAAAATCAGGCTGCCTCAAGCTACACAAACAGGAGAAAGGCTCTTGCCCATTGGCTGCTCTGGTTCGGACAAGGCTTTCACCCCTATATTATATTGGTGCTGTGGTTTAGTTGGTTAAAGCGCCTGTCTAGTAAACAGGAGATCCTGAGTTCAAATCTCAGCAGTGCCTTTTTCAGCATTTCATTGCACGGTGTACACAATCCTGTGAATTTGACAAATAAACACTGATTTCAGTAAGTAACAGTAATGGTCACCGATATGAAATATGCAAATCAATATCATCTAAGTTTTATAAATAATACTGCAACTGTGTTCATTTTCTGTTCACATCCAAGGCTCTCTGGAGTCCAGACAACTGCTTGTTGATTGAAACGTTGTACAAAAATGTACGCACTCACTACTGTAAGTCGCCCTCTGGATAAGAGCCTCTGCTAAATTACTCATTGGGCCCATTGGGCCAGGTGTGAAGCTCTGGGTGCCTAGATGTGAAGCTCTGGGTGCCTAGGTGTGAAGCTCTGGGTGCCTAGGTGTGAAGCTCTGGGTGCCTAGGTGTGAAGCTCTGGGTGCCTAGGTGTGAAGCTCTGGGTGCCTAGGTGTGAAGCTCTGGGTGCCTAGGTGTGAAACTCTGGGTGCCTAGGTGTGAAGCTCTGGGTGCCTAGTTGTGAAGCTCTGGGTGCCTAGTTGTGAAGCTCTGGGTGCCTAGGTGTGAAGCTCTGGGTGCCTAGGTGTGAAGCTCTGGGTGCCCAGGTGTGAAGCTCTGGGTGCCTAGGTGTGAAGCTCTGGGTGCCTAGTTGTGAAGCTCTGGGTGCCTAGTTGTGAAGCTCTGGGTGCCTAGGTGTGAAGCTCTGGATGCCTAAACCTACCTAACCAGTTTTGAATACAATGAGAAGCCCATCAACCATTGATGGCCCATCAGCAAGCCTGACCACTCACACTGAATTCTTCCTCTGCTCTGTCATTCGCTACATACTTTAGTCTGAGACTGCCGTCGTTGAAGTCATTTGTGGTGAAGAGAGGCATTGTACAAAACAAAATATTCAGCGATTGGAACCTCTCTAACCAAAATTCGTCATCGGTATCAAAGCCAATGACACATTTTCAAACCGGGCGCTTTACCCAAGCGTGTTCACCAACCCATCGGTGTCTGGACCAATCAGACTGCCCCAAATGTATTCACAAGGGTTGGGAAGGTACTCAGATCCAGACTCATTGCAGAGAAGAAACTAATGTCTGTGGCGTAGCGTTTGGCCGGAGCAAGCCTGTAAGAAGGTCTGTGAGAGAGTTGTGCCTACAGGAGCAGTCGTGTAATACAGTGCATTCGGAAAGTACTCAGACCCCAGAGGAGTTGTTTGGTTGGTGAAGTGGAATCTCTGACTGGTCCACGGTCCTGATCCGGCGGCCCGCTCCTGGCTCAGTGGTGAAGACATCTGGTTGCTCCAGGGCTCTGAGCGTCTCTAGTCTCTCGACGGTCTCTAGCCTTTCCATGGACACTTCAACCCAGGTCTTAAACTCTATGGCTAGCTGGACTAGTAGAGACTCCTTACCCAGAGTGTACAGACCTAGAGGATACATAATACATAGAAATAGAATTAGAACCCAGGTAGCTTAGTGGGTAAGAGCGTTGTGCCAGTAACCGAAAGGTCGCTGGTTCTAATCCCTGAGCCAACTAGGTGAAAAATCTGTCGATGTGCCCTTGAGCAAGGCACTTAACCCTAATTGCTCCTGTAAGTCGCTCTGGATAAGAGTGTCTGCTAAATAATGTAATCTATACTGTATCTCTATACTGCAAGTACATTTGTTTTCTAACAAATAGACACTGCTGCTTAACCGATTAAATATATTTTTTAACACTTTATACATTCGTAAAACACACTACACAGACAGTTAGATAGTGTATTAGTTAGCTACTACTAATTTTAACTCTTTCAAAAAGAGCCCCTTTGCCTTGACATTGAGTATCTCATATCAAGACCTGGATTCGAACCGGGGTTGCTGCTGCCACAACGCAGAGACCTAACCATTACATCGGTGTTTCCTCAACTGGTATTGTCTTGGGACCCAAATTGCACCAGGTTGTCTCATTCACGATCCAACATTCCCATGACATTTTTTGTTGTTGTTGTCGCCAAAAACGCCATCTGGATAGTAGCCTAAACGCAAGGGTCGCATTAACGTTTTTCACAAAAAAAAAGAATTACAATTAAGATAAAACGCGTAAGAAATATCTTGCTGCATTTTGTAAACGCAGATCTAAAATGCTTCTTATTGTAATTTCCGCTCGGCATCAGACTAATGTTGTGCTTCAGTTGCACTTCTCCACTCCGATGACAATTCAGGAAAGGGGGTTCTATCGGCAGACAGCTCTCTGACTGAGGTGGAGCTATTTGTCTCCTGTACTTTTCTCGAGGTAGCCTACTTTTCTCCAGTAAAATGCAAGATTAACTTTAAGCAAAACATTTGGAAATGTAGCTGGCTACATTATTTATATGATACACATTAGAAATATGATGGCCATGCAGTAAAAAAAAAAAAAAAAAGTCATTGTTCATTGTAAGCTCATTTACTTGTGTGGCTGCTATAAATAGCGTTGCACTTCTATTGTCATCTGATGAAAATGAAGCTATTTTCTGCTGCATATGTAGCACAAATTTATTTTATGTGAAGGATAACTGCAGTTGCAAAAAATATATAAAAAAATACACTGTTGACTTTCAATGTAAAATGGTTTAAACGGCACGCGGCACAAATTTGTGTTGCGACCCACCCATTGAGAATCGCTGCACTATGCGATCATGGCAACTGCCAGGGCTTGATCATTGGTAGGATATATTGGACAAGCCATAGGGGGACACACTGGCTAAATGTCAACGTTTGATTGTTAGCTTCAGTTACCAGTAGTTAGATAACTCAGTCAAAAGGCTCACTTTTGCCGTGACATTGTATATCGCAATGTCGCGACTCGGTAGAATGACATTTTTTTAAAGACACTGCTGAGATTTGAACTCGGGATCTCCTATTTCCTAGACAGGCGCTTTAACCAACTAAATCGCAATGCCCATAGTTATATTGTCTATTGTGTGTGTGAAAAGCCACACATATTTTGAATCAAAACAGAACCCAAAAAGTTCGGTCAGTACATTTCTCATTTGGGTCTCGAGCCGAAAAAGTTTAAGAACCTCTGGACTAGCAGATGAATCTAACTCATTTACCTACCATGAGCTGGACGACTTTGTCAAATGCCAGAGTTGTGTAGTTATCCAGTTAGTTAGCTTATAGTGAAGGCCGGCACAGACTAAATGTCCAAGTCGTGGGCAAATTCTTAGGTCTTAAACGATCGTCGGACGTCTTGGCTCGTTCAGTGTGACAGGGTCTAGGTCTGCTGATTAAGTACCGCGACGTGCGGTCGTAGGCAAAGTTCTGGCAGTGTCAGACATGTTTTGTCTTTATCGTGTAATGTGGCGTGTTTTACAAGCCGCTCCCGACGACTGACCAATAGGAACACGGCCGGCACGGAGTACGCACACAATAATATGATTCTTGTGAATTGTCAGATTAATATAATAGTTTGATTTAAACGTTTACATGCTTTGCAAGAAGAACGATTTCCCTAATAATCCAGTTTGCATGACATCTGAAATCAGGCTCCCTGATGGAATTTTGATAAATGCACAACATCGCCAATCAAAATTAAACTTTCTACCACAGTGAGCATGTAATTTTTTGGGAAGCCTATATGATTCTTAGTACGGACATATACCGTTTGTATGTGAAAAACATTTCTAATATGCATACTTTACAGCCTACAGGAAGGTCAGAGAACTGGCAGCGTGTTGCCAGAATAACAACCTTTCCCTCAACATGAGGACTATTGGAGCGGGTTGAGAGCTTCAAGTTCCTTGGTATCCACATCACTAAGAACCTTTCATGGTCCAAACACACCAAGACATTCGTGAAGAGGGCTCAACAATGCCTATTTCCCCTCAGGAGACTGAAAGGATTTGGCATGGGACCTCAGATCCTCAAAAAGTTATACAGCTGCACCATTTAGAGCATCTTGACTGGCTGCATCAGCGCTTGGTTTGGCAACTGCTTGGCATCAGACCGCAAGGCGCTACAGAGGGTAGTGCGTACGGCCCAATACATCACTGGGGCCGAGCTCCCTGCCATCCAGGACCTCTATACCAGGCAGTGTCAGAGGAAGGCCCTAAAAATTGTCAAAGACTCCAGCCACCTAAGTCATAGACTGTAGACCGGGATTTTTTATTTCAGCTCATGAAACATGGGATGGGACCAACACTTTACATGTTGCGTTTATATTTTAGATTACACAGTTAGTACTTTGAGTAATTCAAAAGGAGCCCTTTTGCCGTGACATTGTGTATCACAATGCCGTGACCCGGATTTCTGCGGTCACAACGCAGAGTAATAACCACTTTACGATTATTGCGAGTTACCAGGGCTTGTGGGAGACCCCTTGGGTGGAAAGCCAAAAAGTCAGCTCTGCCTGTCCACGTCAATGCATGCTTAAATTACCCAATATCTCCCACAGATACACAAGCCCTAACTGTAATCTAACTAGCATCAAAGTGTAACGTTAGACTTTTAGCCACCACAGCCACAGTGAAGGCTTGCTTGAGCAGATCGATTTCTCCGATTTCTCCTTAACATACACAAGCCCTGGTAGCTCGCCGTGATCGTATAGTGGTTAGTACTCTGCGTTGTGGCCGCAACAACCCCGGTTCGAATCCGGGTCACGGCATTGCGATTCACAATGTCACGGCAAAAGGGCTCTTTTTGAATGAGTAGGGTGAACTAAGCAGAGACTGTAGTAAGGGTGCCTACAGTACACAGGTAAAAAATAATTACTACACATCTGTCATTATAACAATAATTAAGCATAGATTGATACCAAGGGTACTCAAGTGATACAATACTCTACATTCAGTTTCGTTAGCTACATTTTAAAGCTAGAGATTTTTGTTTCCAACCGCCGTGTCTTTGTGAGACGCAGAGTAGGTGAACGGATTATCTCTGCATGTGTGGTTCCCACCGTGAAGCATATAGGAGGAGGTGTGATGGTGTGTAGGTGCTTTGCTGGTGACATATAGGAGGAGGTGTGTGTAGGTGCTTTGCTGGTGACACTGTCTGTGATTTATTTAGAATTCAATGCACATTTAACCAGCATGGCTACCACAGCATTCTGCAGCGATACGCCATCCCATCTGGTTTGGGTTTAGTGGGACTATCATTTGTTTTTCAACAGGACAATGACCCAACACACCTCAAGGCTGTGTAAGGGCTATTTTACCAAGAAGGAGAGTGATGGAGTGCTGCATCAGATGACCTGGCCTCCACAATCACCCGACCTCAACCCAATTGAGATGGTTTGGGATGAGTTGGACCGCAGAGTCAAGGAAAAGCAGCCATCAAGTGCTCAGTATATGTGGGAACTCCTTCAACTGTTGGAAAAGCATTCCAGGTGAAGCTGGTTGAGAGAATGCCAAGAGTGTGCAAAGCTGTCATCAAGGCAAAGGGTGACTACTTTGAAGAATCTCAAATATATTTTAATTTGTTTAACACCTTTTTGGTTACTACATGATTCCATATGTGTTATTTCATAGTTTTGATGTCTTCACTATTAGTCTACAATGTTGAAAATAGTAAAAAATCAAGAAAAACCCTTGAATGAGTAGGTGTGTCCAAATTTTTGACTGGTAATGTATGCATGGGCTGATATTCTGTGATAGTCTTTCATTGTGCTCATCTGCAGAGCTGCTCATGACAACATCATAGCAAATAAAATAAAATAACATTTGTTATTTGTCACATACACGTGTTTAACAGATGTTATTGCGGGTGTAGCGAAATGCTTGTGCTTCTAGCTCCGACAGTGCAGTAATATCTAACAAGTAATATCTATCAATCTCACCACATATACCCAATACGCACAAATCTAGTAAGGAATGGAATTTAAGAATATATACATATATGGACAAGCAATGACAGAGCGGCATGGACTAAGGTACAGTAGAATATTATAGAATAGAATACAGTATATACATATGAGATGAGTAGTGCAAGATATGTAAACATTATTAAAGTGACTAGTGTTCCATTTCTCATATGGCTGAGTCTCAGATTAACTCATTCAAAAAGTGCCTTTATGCCGTGAATCGCAATGCCATGAGCAGTACTAACCATTATACGATCATGGCAAGCTACCAAGGCTTGTGTGTGAGGGGGAGAAATGTTGGGCTACTCAAGCATGCCGTCGCCTTGATGTGGAAAACAAGGCTAAATACCATTGTTGACTAGTTGACTAGAGAGAGACTCAACAGTGTATAGCGTAAGGTGAAGTAGAGTAGAGTTAGTACTGACCCCTGTAGAGTACTGTGTGGTACAGTGGAATACAGTACTCACCAGTGTAGAGTATGGTTCCGAAGTATCTTTGGAACAGGAACATGCTGCCCCTGGACAGTAAATAGAATGCATGAGGGTGACGGTCAACCTCTCATTGCTTATATCATCCAGGGGCAACACGTTGGGTTCCCCCACCTCCAGAGGATGGATCAATCACTCTCTGACTTGAACACAGGGAAAAGAGAAGAGAAGAGGAGAGAAGGCCACAAAGTTGGAAACACAGAATCTAGAATGTCATCGTATGCTGTAGCGTTAAGATTTCCCTTCACTGGAACTAAGGGGCCTAGCCCGAACCCTGAAAAACAGCCCCAGACCATTATTCCTCCTCCACCAAAATGTACAGTTGGCACTATGCATTCGGGCAGGTAGCGTTCTCCTGGCATCCGCCAAACCCAGATTCGTCCGTCGGACTGCCAGATGGTGAAGTGTGATTCATCACTCCAGAGAGCACGTTTCCACTGCTCCAGAGTCCAATGGAGGCGAGCTTTACACCACTCCAGCCGACGCTTGGCATTGCGCATGGTGATCTTAGGCTAGTGTGCGGCTGCCTGGCCATGGAAACCCATTTCATGAAGCTCCCAACGAACAATTATTGTGCTGACGTTGCTTCCAGAGGAAGTTTGGAACTCGGCAGTGAGTGTTGCAACCAAGGACAGACGATTTTTACGCGCTTCAGCACTCAGTGGTCCCGTTCTGTGAGCTTGTGTGGCCTACCACTTAGCAGCTGAGCTGTTGTTGCTCCTAGATGTTTCCACTTCACAATAACAACACTTACAGTTGACCGGGGCAGCTCTAGCAGGGCAGAAATTTAACTAACTGACTTGTTGGAAAGGTGGCATCCTATGACAGTGCCATGTTGAAAGTCAATGAGCTCTTCAGTAAGGCCATTCTACTGCCAATGTTTGTCTACGAAGATTTCATGGCTGTGTGCTCGATTGTATATACCTGTCAGCAAAGGGTGTGGCTGAAATAGTCGAATCCACTAATTTGAAGGGGTGTCCACATACTTTTGTATATATATAATGTATCTTTCTCACCTGCAGTTTGAGTTTGAGCAGGGTGACAGAGACTAAGGGGCAGTAGATGGGTCTGTTGGACCAGGTCGAGGTCAGGCCCACAGTATAGTCACTGTGCATATGGGACAAGAAGAACAGGCGAACATGCTGACACTTCCAAACCTGACAGAATTCCACTGCCAGCAGAGAATGGGGTTAAGTTTACCATTCATTATTCACAGTTCTGGAGAATCCTCCTGGGAAAATGACGAGAAGAAAGAGCAATGGTTAGCCAAGCAAACTACTATAAAACAGCTATTTGGCGTATAGCAAACATGGTAGGTTACGTTATATATTCCTGTATGTTGCTATGAAAGATACATTATGCTAACATTAGTAACGTTAGGCCTACTAGCTACAGTAGCTTGCTAGCTATAAAAAAAAAAGTACTTTGTCGATAAACTATACTGTTTGCATAGTAGCAGAATATATATTTCAAAAGAGAATACATTTCACAAAAAAAACATCTTACAAAGACTTGGACAGCTGATATGATGATTACTTGCGTTACATGTCATGTTAATGACAAAACATTCACTAATATGTCTCTGCTTGAACAGTAGTCTACGTCACTGTTGGATTCAGTTAAAATGCTAATTCCTCCAAGTTGGGCCACGGCCCTGGTAGCTCGCCGTGATCGTATAGTGGTTAGTACTCTGCGTTGTGGCCGCAGCAACCCCGGTTCGAATCCGGGTCACGGCATTGCGATACACAATGTCACGGCATAAGGGCTCTTTTTATTAAAGAGGTACCTTGCTAACTATAATATAAATAGTTATCTTTTTTTACGTTAGCTAAACTGGCAAAGTCGAGACACCGGTTCCTAACCATCCGCAAAGGAGTGTTTGAAAAAAGAAAAGACAATTTAACGAAAGTCCATGTCGCTGCATGGCTCTGCTTGCACGTTTGAATAGCCCCAAATCTCCGCCCAACCCACACGCCCTGGTAGCTCGCCGTGATCGTATAGTGGTTAGTACTCTGCGTTGTGGCCGCAGCAACCCCGGTTCGAATCCGGGTCACGGCATTGCGATACACAATGTCACGGCATAAGGGTTGTCTTTTTGAAGAGTCAACTAACGTTAGTTTACTCATGGTAAACTAACTGACTGGCTAGCTAATTAGCTAGCTATGTAATTCTGATATTTATCCCTTTCGGGGTTGGTTAACCAGCTAACGTTACACATAGCAGTGGCAATGAATGACAGACAAAACTGTAAATTAGCTTTACCTAGATGCAGTTAGCTAAATTAGTAACAACACGTGTGGGGGAACAGCTAGCTAATATGTAGGCTATGTACCCAGATGAAACCCACATGAACATGCATAAGGAGAAATTGATTTTAAAAGTTAGGTCGATGCAATGCAAAATATACTTCATGATCCATCCTACAGTATGGACTGTCAATCATAGTATGAACGCGTTCAGCTCATTTTCCAGTTTCAAATCAAATCAAGCTTTATTTATACAGCACATTTCAGACATGGAATTTAACGCAATGTGCTTAACAGGAAAAAACTATTAAAATAAAAACTGAAATATTTAGTACACAACAAACATGACAAAAACTGAACGACTAGAAAGCACCGTAACACAATTATCCTAACCTGCTACGAAAAGTCAACTCTGACAAAAGATGTCTCCTTTCCAAAGTAGCTATTGGCTGTCCTAAAAGTCGCTAAATGACGTGATAATTTGCATAATTACCATGTGCATGTAATTGTGATGGACACTGTAGGAGAGAGGAATAGCGTCGTGGGAGAGACAAAAAGGGAGTAAAAAACACCCTACATTTACATCCCGCCCTGAATGTAAAGCCAGGGCGGGATCAGCCAGCGGCGGCTTCCCGCATGCGCGATTCATTTGCAGTCTGGACGCGGAGGGGTGAACATCTCCTGCTCTGACTGCAGCTGGGAGGGACTGCAGCGCGTTGAGAAGAGTAAGAACGATACGTGTTTTCACGTCAGAGTCTCCAAAAGTCTATAATAACACCAGAAAAAGTCGCTAGATTTGTCGCTTTTTTGATGTGTCGCTAGAGGGGTCTGAAAACTCGCTATATAGCCACAAAGTCGCGAAGTTGGCAACACTGATCTAGTCAAAACCCTTCACCGGGGTGGAGAGACATTTTTGCAGTTTTAAATGCCCACGCGGGCGGAAATACATATTTTTTCAGCTGAAAGACAAAGCCCATAGCTTACCCATGATGCTGCACAACGATTTAAGTCAATAAGTCTTCGTTTTAGTCAAAGTATGATATATTTGGGGTTGAAGTGGGAAATCCGTGCCAATGCTGTATGTTTCCCATATGATATGACGTGCTACTACTTCTCAATCTGTTTCTTTTCAGGGCTGGGTTTTATTTGAATGCTGCCACCCACAAGCATGGCATTGTTTATAAATCAGAAACACCTGCAAAGTCCTCTTCTTCGTGAGTCGCCACTGAGCTGAGCAATATAATAGATCATCTTTGGCTGAGCCACACAGCTTTTTGCCTTAGCCTACACTTGTCTGCCTGATCCATGGAGCAAATTAAAATAGAAGTTTGCTCCTCCACTTTTTTACCAACAAATGATCACTTATTTTTTAGCTAGTCTGTATTTTAAAAAAAGATGACAATTTTATAACTGGTAAAATTGCTTGTGATCGGTGGCGACTTGTCATTCAGGACCCTTTTTTAATTTTTTTGTTGCCTGTTTTGCATGTTATTTTTGGCATTAATACATGTCACATATCAGTTTGCAAACAATGTAAAACATTTTTTTATAATCATTGAGTTAATTAATAAAGCTGCATACGAACATGGTCTCTTTTTTGCTTTCTTGAGTGAGGCAGCTCCAAAATGCAGGTGCTTTCTGTGGTGGTGGGGCAGCCAGTGGAAAATATGGAGCGTAGGGGTTGGTAATGTTCTCTAGTTGCGCTGTGATTGGCTCAGTGTTCTGACACTCATGGGGTCACCGCAAAATCTATGGGGAGAGCTCGAAAATTCAAGCCCCTTGGGTGCTGCCATAGATTTACATTAGACATGCCCATCCAAGAAGGCTCAAGGTCATTGGCCACAGATAAAATGACGTCAAATCATGTTATATCTACCATAGCTTTGATTGGCTTGATCGTGTCAACATCATACTTTCAAAATCTTAGCTAACAAGCTAGATAAGCAGTAATCATCATGAATCAAGTCGACAATATACTGGCAAATCCCTTTCAATCCTTGTCATATGAAGAGAAATTATGGATAAAACGTATCGGTGGCCATTGGACATAAACATTACACAACAAGTTGGAAATCGCAAATTCAACAATGAGTGGTTTGGAAGGAATCAGTGGCTAACTGCAAGCATTGCAAAGCAATCACTAGCCTGCTATTCGTTGTAGAGGGTGTGTGGTCCAAGTCTGGGTTTAAGGGTCTCTTTTCCAAGCTTAAAAGGATAAACATTCACATGCTATAGGCCAGAAAAGGTTGTATACATTGGCCATGCTGTCAATCCAGCATGACGTCTGCCACATTCAAAACAACTGGAAACTCGGAACTGGGAAATCTCAGACTTCAGAGAGTTCAAGACAACTGGGAACTCAGGGGAAAAAAAACTAGCTCAGACTGGGAAAATACGTTTTGAACGGTCATCCAACTTGGAGTTCCAAGTCGGGAACTCAGGCCTCTTTCTAGATCTCCGACCTGAAGATCACTGACCGAATGATTCAACCTTGTTTTTTTCAGAGTTCCCAGTTGTCTTGAAAGCACCATGAATCCAGAGAATGCCAGACTTTGATGACAAAGTTTGATGACAAAATTTGCCCACAAGAAGGACCGCCGCGCCACCTTCCGGTTCAAGTGAGCATAGAACAACAAGGTGAGTCCAAAAATGTCTTGTATGCTGCTGCATGATGATGTAATATGCCACAGAGATATGTATACTGTAGCTAAGAAATTAATACTAAGTGTATGTTGTGTAGTAAGCTGTTAGTAGCCAATAATTTGGTCCCTTTCCCCCTCTTAACTTAGCCTACAGTTCTGACTTGGTGGTCCAAATGTAGCCTGTAGTCTGTTTTAGAGAAATGTAATCATCTAATATTGTAAGAGCTTTCACTGACTGCTTATATGCCCCCCTTATTTATCCTACGGTTCTGACTTGGTGTACAGGGAGAATACTGTAAGAACCGCCCATGTTCTGAATTCTGTCGCTGTACATTTGGAAAATTGCTGAACAAATAGTTATATTGACTACGTCCGTCCTAGCTCGCTCATGAATGTCTTAATCGAAATTACGGATTGCCTCTTATCCACTCGTTTTCCCCTTATGCCATAGTTTGTACATCTCAATTGTCAGTAGAAACCACATTTGTTTAAGCAAGTCAGCCATATCAGATATGTTTTTTAAAAAGGCAGTAAATGAGGCTGAATGAACTGTTTCGCTGCCAGACAAGGCTCCGCTGATAGCCAGGTGTAGCGGTGGTAAGGTGTTGGGACAGCTTTATGTAGGCCCTAACAGTTTGTGAGCACTGTTTCTCACCGTTATAGTGCAATTAATGTATTGTTTAGTGTTGTGTAGTGACTTTGCTGGCATGCATCTAAAAAATATTTGTTGAGTTGGCCCTATCAAGATTTACATGCTAAAATCGCCACTGTGTGTGATATGATTGCATTTTGGAACCCCACTCCCCCTGTAGCCCCAAGATGAAATGATTTTGACCACGCTCCACTGCTTTTGATTATCTCTATCCTATAAAGTGTCTGTCCTATAATGAAAAGGCACCCGCGAAAGAAAATTCCACAAACCTGTTTATATATTTTGTGCTATTGTTACATTTTAATTGATGTTTTTGTTTCGTGTCCGATGCACTCGGGGTGTCGTTACATATAATTTGCACAAAGTCATTTGTAGCATATCATTTCACTTCCCCTAGCTGTGAGAACCATGGCATGAGCATGGGCAGACTTGGCATTGCTGTAGCACAGCCGAATAGCCTGCCAGCAGACTACCAAAGGTTTCCCTAAATGCTTATGACAACTCCAGCTCCAGGAACCAGCCATAGCCTAGCCAGCTGGCTAATCTTTTAAAAACGGTGTAGCAACAACAGATAACATTAGCTAGCTAGAAAAGGTTAGCATGCTAGCTAGCTAGCTACACTGACAGCTGTCAGTGCTCTACTTGTTGTTATTTCTCCACTCCGAAGTGGAAATCACCCACAACGTTCCCACCCCCAATTTGTGAATATGTATTAGCAGCCTGCGTCATTTCTCGGAGGTGGAACCTAAACGAGATTTTCCCGCTATAGGACATGAATTACGTCGAAGTAGGGGCGGCATTGCCCTCTGGTGGGGGCCTTTAAGGCAATATTCCGACAAATCTACACATTTCGCCAATACTAATGCCATGTTAATATGAAATCTGAGTAAGAATGACTAACAAAATCAATGGGGGCCCACTAGTGGTCAGGGCCCCTGGGCACGTGCCCTGCTTGCCAGGACAGTATTCGACTACAAGTTTAGATACCTGGCTAGACTAACTACGAATTAAAACATGCACATGGCTAATTGTCAGCTAATTGAGTGACTAACATAAAAAGAGAGAAACTGCTGATGCACAACCACATTAAAAAAATTGCACCTTTTACTATTCTTACTTTCAGTAGTAAGTTGAGACCCCGACTTGGCTCCTCCAGACGGGGGCCCTAAGCGACCGCCTGGAGCCGGCCCTGATTGTCAATCAATCAACCTTATCAATCACTTAATGAAAACATTTAACCATAGTCAAGAAGCTGGCTGCCTACGCTATTGATGTGTATTGATCCTACTATATTTCCTGTAACACTGGCTGTGGTTGAGACACTGTAGGACAGGCTCTCCAACCTTGTTCCTGGAGAGCTACCCTCCTTTAGGTATTCACTCCGACCCCAGTTGTAACTAAACTGATTCAGCTTATCAACTAGCTAATTATTAGAATCAGGTGCGCTAGATTGGGGTTGGGAGTTAAAAAAAACCTACAGGAAGGTAGCGTTCCAGGAACAGGTTGGAGAGCCCTGCTGTAGGGGGTGTCTATGTTACGGAGAGTATTGATTAATCTGTTGATAAGGGATTGATATGTGACTAATACTTGGAGTATAAGTGACAGAAATTCATAGCAGGCTTGTATACACTACCAAATTATATGAGGGGCAAACTATTTGGTAATTTTTTGGGAAATCAGACCATTTTGTCACAGATGATCATTCATGCCTTCACGCGGATTGAGAAATTATAAGGAATGTGTTCAAGTAAAAATACTTTAAAGTACTTAAGTAGTTTTTTGGGGGGTATCTGTACTTTACTTTATTATTTATAATTTTTGATTACTTTTACTTCACTACATTCCTAAAGAAAATAATGTACTTTTTACTCCATACATTTTCCCTGACACCCAAAAGTACTGGTTACATTTTGAACGCTTAGCAGGACAGGAAAATGGTCAAATTCACACACTTATCAAGAGAACTATGGAGGACTAAAAGTGCCACAATTAAATAAATAAATACACCATTAAATAATTACTTAAATGTGTCATTAATTAATTAAATGTGTCATTAATTAATTCAAATTAGAATTAAATACATAAATGTGTAATTAAATGTATCATTAATTAATTCAAATACCGATTCATTTTATGTAAAATACATATATAATTATTTCACTATTTACATTTACATTTCATGATCCTGCATTGCAGTGATTCATGAATTACTTAAAACTGTCAAACTGACCCATCAAAGTCAGTGGGCGGGGCTAACGCGAATCTAGTCTGATCCATTGCTTTGGTCTGAAGTAGAGTAGGCCAACCTGGATAGAGACAATGGAGGATCTCCGTGAACTTTCCAGGGAGTTGGTTAGAGACATTTTAAACTTAGCAGAGGATGTAGAAGCAGGACCTGCTGACATTATCCGGAATTGATTTGTCTTGGCTTGATGCAGAGGGTAACCAATCAGGCGTTAGGTTCCGCCTACCAACTTTTGATGGGTCAGTTTGACAGTTTTAAGTAATTCAGGAAGCACTCCAACGCAGGACCATGAAATGTAAATGTAAATAGTGAAATTATTATATATGTATTTTACATAAAATGAATCGGTATTTGAATTAATTAATGACACATTTAATAACACATTTATGTATTTAATTCTAATTTTAATTAATTAATGACACATTTAAGTAATTATTTAATGGTGTATTTATTTATTTAATTGTGGCACTTTTAGTCCTCCATAGAGAACATCCCTGGTCATCCCTACTGCCTCTGATCTGGCGGACTCACTAAACACAAATGCTTCGTTTGTAAATGATGTCTGAGTGCCCCTGGCGCACTCCAAATATAAAAACAATAAAATGGTGCCGTCTGGTTTGCTTAATATAAGGAATTTGAAATAATTTATACTTTTACTTTTGATACTTAAGTATATTTTAGCAATTACATTTACTTTTGATACTTAAGTATATTTAAAACCAAATACTTTTAGACTTTACTCAAGTAGTATTTTACTGGGTAACTTTCCCTTTTACTTCAGTCGTTTTCTATTAAGGTATCTTTACTTTTACTCAAGTATGACAATTGTCTACTTTTCCCATAGACATTCTGTTATAATGTAAGCTGCCCCTTTAAATATGAAAAAAAGAGAAGTAGTTATGCAGTAGCCATTTTTTGTTGATGACGCGCACGCGTTAAAACTGCGTCAAAAGTTGTTTTGGACTATTGTGCTTATCGGTGGATGGAATATTGGTAAGTGTGCATTGCATATATTATGGCAACATTTCTATAAACGGTATTTTCGACTTGCAGTGTTGTTCTAGACTACAATGGAAGGTAATGTTATGAAGTTTGTTTACATTGTTTCATGGAGTTTGATGGTAGGCATTCCGGAGACAAGTCAAATGAGCCTTAAAAGCAGATCGAAATCTAGCCTTAGTGAGAGTAATAATGTTGTTTATCATCGTTGCCGTCCATGAAACTCCTATCAAATTTAAGTCCAAAGAGGACTACGTCCTCCCATTGCTAAATAACGCAACTTTGGAATGAGGTGATCTTAGATTTTACTCCTTTGGGAATATGCTGTGGGTTTGAACGGTTGCAACATTCTTTCACAGGACATGGGAAACCAGCATTTCTGCTATTAACTGCGCGCTCGATCCTCTAACAATGCAATATGGAAATTCGCTCTCATAGGCGTCAGCTGAAGTCTTAACTATTGTTGTTGAACCTTACACTACATTTCTAATGTAGCTTTCCGGATGAAAGGGGACATTCCCTAATAAGGAAATCCAGATGCCTTGATTGTTCTAAATACTATTTTTCATATAATTTACATTGGCTTTGACATATCAATTACCCATACAATTATACATTATTTATCATCAATTTACTATGCTACCTATTAACCCGTTACAAACACATTATAAACCGTCTGCTACTTTTCAAGTAAAATAGTGATAGCGCAATTATTGTATAACTTGGATAATGTCAGATGACATGAGGCCACGAAGAAGAGTGTTTTGGTAGGGGGCTAGCTATATTAGTTTATGGGATGCTTGGGGTTCGTTTGGGATGGTTTGTAATTCCAGTTAATAACAAAATCTCCACTTGAGTTATTCCATTATTTGTCCCATGGAGAGAGGTCTTTCTTGAAAAAGAGATTGTATCTCAATGAGACTAACCTGGATAAAGGTTAAATAAAAATAAATCTGAATTGGAATTGACCCTAATCCTGCTTGTTGTCCTAAAGCTGCTTTATTGGCCTAGTGTATTGTACATGTCCCTGCTCTGCACTGATCTCCCCCTGTGCTTCCCTCATAGAGCCAAGATGAGTGAGGACGTGTTTGAGGTCCCTGAGGGGGCAGAGTACCGTTATCTGGTACAAGAGGAGGGAGAGGTGGAGGTGCAGTATGTGCGTCGTAGACACTATGTCAGCCCCTTCCTGGTCCTGTCCAGAAGCTGCATCTTCCTCATCTGTCTGGGGGTGCTATCCCTGCTCACCTTGGCTGGGTACCTGGCCTACGTGGCCCAGACTCCGCCCCCTGGGTCACCCCAGGTCACTACCGACTGTGGACGCTTCCAGGGGAGACAGGTGGGTTGATGGCTGCACGTTGGTGGTGGAAAGATTAGAATTAGAACAGCGTTCAAATCTAACTTTATTTATATAGCACATTTCGTACACGGATGCAATACAATGAGCTTTACAAAAAAAAAACAATGTTCAGCCATATTGAATATTTTAACCAATTGTACTATATGGTTGCCCCCATATGCCTACAATGTAAAGAGCATTGAGACCTAATAGAACAGGGATCATCAATTAAATTCAGCCACAGGCCGTTTATATATATAATTTTTATTTATTTATGGAGCGGATGGTCAGGGGGCCGGAACATAATTACAAATAATTTGTAAACTGCAAATTGACCGGAAGAAGTCCAAACGGATATAATATTTGACTAAAACATAATAATTTCAAACGTTGCTTACATTCGTAAACAATCACATACACTCATTGGCCAGTTTATTAGGTACAGCTTGTTGATGAGAGAGGTCGAAGCGGGCCACAAACAGGCAAGTAATGGCGCTGTACAAAAGTAGTGTGCAGAACGGCATCTCAGAACGCACAGGGTCAGCTGATCCAGCTGCAGCAAGGCCACAGATGTTTAGCTTCAATCCTATGCAATATATACAGTACACTCAGTGGTCCGATTGACTGTTAGAATGGGCAAAACGAGTGACCTAAGAGACTTGGAGCATGGTACGATCGTCGGTGCCAGGCGTGCCGGTTCCAGTATCTCAGAAACGGCCGGCCTCCTGGGCTTTTCACACATGACAGTGTCTAGGGTTTACAGAGAATAGTGCGACAAATAAAAAAACTGTCAGCTGCAGTCCTGTGGGCGAAAAACAGCATGTTGATGAGAGGTCGAAGGAGAATGGCAAGAATCGTGCAAGTTAACAGGCGGGCCACAAACAGGCAAATAACGGCGCAGAACGGCGTCTTGGAACGCTCAACTCATCGGTTCCTGTCACGGATGGGCTATTGCAGAAGACGGCCACACCAGGTTCCGCTCCTACCAGCTAAAAACAACATCAAGAAGCAGCTCCAGTGGGCACGCCATCACCAACACTGGACTATTAAGGAATGGAAAAACATTGCCTGGTCCGACGAATCCCGGTTCCTGTCGCGTCATAATGATGGCAGAGTCAGGCAACGGTACAGGCTGGTGGCGGTGGTGTAATGGTGTGGGGAATGTTTTCCTGGTATCAATTGAGCAACGAACGTTTCCGACACTTTGTAGAATCCATGCCCCGAATAATTCAGGCTGTTCTGGAGGAAAAGGGGGTCCGACCCGAGATGGGTGTACCTAATTTACTTTCCACTGAGTGTATATCTCTATTATGCATGGGAATACTTTGGAACAGATTTCCAAAATTAAAATAACTTGGAGCTGATTTGCTGGTGTTTTTACAGTCTTTGTATGTCCAACAATACAATTTAAAAGATCACCTCCAGTTGAGGAACCCTGTAATAGAAGATGGTAAAGGATTGAGGAGTGGACTGTTTCAGTGACAGGTGCCTTGACCATGTGGGCTTATACGGAATTACCTCCAGTGAACACTCATAGTTATTGAAATACTATTGGTCGTCTTTATCATTGCAGAGGAATGGGGCCTACTCGTTCAAGGGCCTCTCCTACGCTGCTCCCCCCATTGGGGAACGCCGCTGGGCCCCGCCGGCCAAACCCTGGTGTGGGAACGGGGTGGTGGATGCCACCCGCTTCCGCAGCAAGTGTCCCCAGGTGCAGCCGCTCTCAGACACGGGGAAGGTGATGGGCCAGGAGAGCTGCCTCTTCCTGAACGTGTGGACCCCTACCCTGAGCCCCGACTCTGCCCTGCCCGTCATGGTCTGGATCCACGGGGGCTACCTTCACATGCTTAGTGGAGGAGAGGAGGGCTACTCGCCCACGGAGGAGCTGGCGGCCCAGACAGGGATGGTCTATGTCAGCTTTAACTACAGGCTCAACGCGTTTGGGTTCCTGGCCCTGGAGCTACTGAGGGACGGCTCTCCAACCAATACCTCTGGTCAGTCTCTAGCAGTCAGGATTAAAACAGAAAAATAGTAATAGGAACACTTTTATCTTCAAACTTCAGTTGGCACAACAAAGTATTACAGTACGGCCGAACGAGGTCTTGATGTCTCAAGCAGTTTCACACAACATAGATCATGTTGTATTTAAGATATGATAATGGGAAATATTTCATCTTTTAACATGCTATTTCCAGCACTAACAGAGTGATGAAATAGTCATAATGTTTATGTTTTGTGCTCTCAGTGATGTTGTTTAAAATTGTGTATATCTATTTAATGAGCTTTAATGTGATTTGGATAACTGGAGGTGATATACAGTGCATTCGGAAAGTATTCAGACCCCTTGACCTTTTCCACATTTTGTTACGTGAAATAGTTTTTTTTCCCTCATCAATCTACACACAATACCCTATAATGACAAAGCAAAAACTGGTTTTTAGAAATGTTTGCAAATGTATTAAAAAGTGAAATATCACTTTTACGTAAGTATTCAGACCCTTTACTCAGTTTGTTGAAGCACCTTTGGCAGCAATTACAGCCTTGAGTCTTCTTTGGTATGACGCTACAAGCTTGGCACACCTGTATTTGGGGAGTTTCTCCCATTCTTCTCTGCAGATCCTCTCAAGCTCTGTCAGGCTATTTTCAGGTCTCTCCAGAGATGTTCAATCGGGATGTGGCTGGGCCACTCAAGGACATTCAGAGACTTGTCCCGAAGCCACTCCTGCGTTGTCTTGGCTGTGTGCTTAGGGTCGTTGTCCTGTTGGAAGGTGAACCTTCACCCCAGTCTGAGGCCCTGAGCGCACTGGAGCAGGTTTTCATCAAGGATCTCTCTGTACTTTTCTCCGTTCATCTTTCCCTCTCCTGACTAGTCTCCCAGTCCCTGCTGCTGAAAAACATCCCCACAGCATGATGCTGCCACCCCCATGCTTCACCGTAGGGATGGTGCCAGGTTTCCTCCAGATGTGACGCTTGGCATTCAGGCCAAAGTCTTCAATCTTGGTTTCATCAGACCAGAGAATCTTGTTTCTCATTGTGTGAGAGTCCTTTATGTGCCTTTTGGCAAACTCCAAGCGAGCTGTCATGTGCCTTTTACTGAGGAGTGGCTTCCATCTGGCCACTCTACCATAAAGGCCTGATTGGTGGAGTGGTGCAGAGATGGTTGTCCTTCTGGAAGGTTCTCCCATCTTCACAGAGGAACTCTGGAGCTCTGTTAGAGTGACCATCAGGTTATTGGTCACCTCCCTGACCAAGGCCCTTCTCCCCCGATTGCTCCGGGTGGCCAGCACTAGGAAGAGTCTTGGTGGTTCCAAACTTTTTCCATTTAAGAGTCCACTGTGTTCTTGGGGACCTTCAATTCTGCAGACATTTTTTCGTACCCTTCCCCAGATCTGTGCCTCGACACAATCCTGTCTCGGAGCTCTACGGACAATTCCTTCGACCTCATGGCTTGGTTTTTGCTCTGACATGCACTGTCAACTGTGGGACCTTATATAGACAGGTGTGTGCCTTTCCAAATCATGTCCAATCAATTGAATTTACCACAGGTGGACTCCAATCAAGTTGTAGAAACATCTCAAGGATGATCAATGGAAACAGGATGCACCTGAGCTCAATTTCAAGTCTCATAGCTAAGGGTCTGAATACTTATGTAAATAAGGTATTTCTGTTTTTTGTTTTAAATAAATTTGCTAAAATATATACAAACCTGTTTTCATTTTGTCGTTATGGGGTATTGTGTGTAGATTGAAGAGGAAAAAATGTAATTTTATCAACTTTAGAATAAGGCTGTGAATACTTTCCTAATGCACTGTATTTGTCTTACCTCCGCTGCTTGGTAAAACGTTTATATTTTTATTTCTCATGGTCACTATACCATTTATGCTTCACACACACATACCTTGATATGAAATGACCCATAAAATCACATAAAGCCATTGTTTTCAACACTCACAGTCATAGACGAGAATAGAAACGTTCTCCATCTGAATACCTCCTATCCCATGTCCTATTTCCCTTTCCTTCTGATCTGAAAGGGGTATTGACACGAGGAGCCTTTAGGGTTCACTAGGCTAGATGGAGCTTCTGAAATAGGAACTAGGACATAGTGAAACGAGGCCACGTCAAAGTGGTATTTCGACGTCATTTTGAATCTCTTTAATTGCTTTCCCCCCCAGGAAACTATGGCTTTATGGACCAGATAGCTGCTCTGCAGTGGGTCCAGAGGAACATCAAGGTGTTTGGAGGAGACCCCAGTAAAGTCACCATACTAGGTCAAAGCTCAGGTAATGAAACACCAGTTATTAGAAGTCTGTATATGGGCTACCTGAGTGTCAATGAAGTATGCTTGAACGTTTATTGTGCCCCCTTCTCATTTTTGTTATAATACAAACCATTTTTAAAGGATGAAAACAAAAATATGCTCCTTTTATGTTAGCGTGTGCTTGTAGCAGTGTAGTTGTGTGAAGGAATGAACATGGGAATTTCCTCTCATTGTCTACCCTCTTCCCAACACCCTTCCCCCCACACACACACACACACACACACACACACAGGCGGGACGTCAGTGTGGACTCTGATGATGTCTCCGCTGGCGAAGGGTCTGTTTCGTGCGGCGGTGGATATGAGCGGCTCCTATGTGTATAACGCACCACTGGAGAGGGCAGAGGCAGACAACCTGCTATTCCTGAACAAGACTGGCTGCAATGACCTGGCCTGCCTCCGAAAGCTCTCCACCACACTGATACTACGGGTACACACAGTATTGACGACTTAAACCGTACAGTCTGCCTTTAGGGAGAAATGGGCTTCATGTGGGTCTCTCTCCCCTCTCTCTCTCTGTCTCTCTCTCTCCCCTCTGCTCCAGGCCATCCCATGGAAGGAGTACCCGTCGTGGGGGGCAGATGATCTGATGGACCTGCCCACGAAGGGCAGCTTTGTAGGTCCCGTAGCGGTGGTTGACAGGCATGTCCTCCCAGCCCCTCCCTTTGAGATGTGGGAGAAAGGAGGATTCTTCAATGATGTTCCATTCCTCGTAGGGACCACTGAGCAGGAGACTGACTTTTTGTAAGTATTATGCGTGGTCGGAAGAATAAATGATTATACAAAATTATTATCTACAGAAGCTGTCCTAGAAATACACAATGAAATTCGTAATCTTGTGTGTGTGTGTGTGTGTGTGTGTGTGTGTGTGTGTGTGTGCACTTTAGCCCACCTTATGAGAATATATCCATGTGGACATGGGGAGACTACCAGTGGTTTGTGACAGGTGAGAAGAAGAATACGCTAACCTCGGGGTCAATATAGATCTAACCTCGGGGTCAATATAGATCTAACCTCGGGGTCAATATAGATCAATCTGTAAATATTATTTCGATTAGGTTTTATTGAGGAAATTCATCTCTACATGCTCAAACATTGCAGACTGTAAGAGATCAACAAAAACCCCCAAAACCCAGACATTAACAGATAAACAGACAGAAAACCAAGACCGCACAGAGTGGGAGATAGTCCATTGAGCTGTTGAGGAAGTTTATGGCTGTGGGAAAGTAGCTCCTGCTAAACTGGGCCATTTTTGTCCCTTACCACTTATGGGGACCAAGGGACTCCAGCATCAGCTCCTTTCTCCAAACCCTGCTCTCATCTCTCGTATTTGCAACCCTGTCGCCTTTTTACAGTGTATTCCTGCTACCTTGATGACCTTCAAAAACACATTGCCCTTTCCCTAAAACACTCTGTTCTGTGTCCCACACAGACAAACTGAGCCCCTTCAGCGAGGGTCTTCCTAAGGAGGCGTTGGATCTGTACCCAAGCTCGGCCCTGTGCCCCACTCCTGACCGCTGCCCAGAGAGGGCTTACACCACCATGGTGTCAGACATGAGGGTCACCTGCCCCAACAACGACCTGGCCAAGAGGGCTGCAGGTAGGCTACGCTGACAGCCAGCCAAGGGGTTAGCATTCACTATGATAATGGATAGCATTTTGGGGGGGACAATGGTCTCTCTAGATAGAGAGGTAGTTGTTCAGAGAAGACACCTATTAGAATGGTCTCTAGAGAGAGAGGTAGTTGTTCAGAGAAGACACCTATTAGAATGGTCTCTAGAGAGAGGTAGTTGTTCAGAGAAGACACCTATTAGAATGGTCTCTAGAGAGAGAGGTAGTTGTTCAGAGAAGACACCTATTAGAATGGTCTCTAGAGAGAGGTAGTTGTTCAGAGAAGACACCTATTAGAATGGTCTCTAGAGAGAGAGGTATTTGTTCAGAGAAGACACCTATTAGAATGGTCTCTAGAGAGAGGTAGTTGTTCAGAGAAGACACCTATTAGAATGGTCTCTAGAGAGAGGTAGTTGTTCAGAGAAGACACCTATTAGAATGGTCTCTAGAGAGAGGTAGTTGTTCAGAGAAGACACCTATTAGAATGGTCTCTAGAGAGAAAGGTAGTTGTTCAGAGAAGACACCTATTAGAATGGTCTCTAGAGAGAGGTAGTTGTTCAGAGAAGACACCTATTAGAATGGTCTCTAGAGAGAGAGGTATTTGTTCAGAGAAGACACCTATTAGAATGGTCTCTAGAGAGAGGTAGTTGTTCAGAGAAGACACCTATTAGAATGGTCTCTAGAGAGAGGTAGTTGTTCAGAGAAGACACCTATTAGAATGGTCTCTAGAGAGAGGTAGTTGTTCAGAGAAGACACCTATTAGAATGGTCTCTAGAGAGAGAGGTAGTTGTTCAGAGAAGACACCTATTAGAATGGTCTCTAGAGAGAGGTAGTTGTTCAGAGAAGACACCTATTAGAATGGTCTCTAGATAGAGAGGTAGTTGTTCAGAGAAGACACCTATTAGAATGGTCTCTAGAGAGAGAGGTAGTTGTTCAGAGAAGACACCTATTAGAATGGTCTCTAGAGAGAGGTAGTTGTTCAGAGAAGACACCTATTAGAATGGTCTCTAGAGAGAGAGGTAGTTGTTCAGAGAAGACACCTATTGGAATGGTCTCTAGAGAGAGGTAGTTGTTCAGAGAAGACACCTATTAGAATGGTCTCTAGAGAGAGGTAGTTGTTCAGAGAAGACACCTATTAGAATGGTCTCTAGAGAGAGGTAGTTGTTCAGAGAAGACACCTATTAGAATGGTCTCTCTAGAGAGAAAGGTAGTTGTTCAGTCACCTATTAGAATGCTTTGGAAATGCCTCCTGTCCACCCTTCACTGATGTAATCACTCATCTGTTAGTGAACAGCAGTGATAGGACAGAGTTTTGAACTGCTTGTGGGTGTTTGTTTTGTGTGTGTGTGTGTTCCTAGCGGCCCTCCACAGTCCTGTGTATCGGTACGTGGTGACACACACTCCATCTCGTGCCGTCAACTCCTCTGAGGGTCTGTTGTCGTTCCCCAGCCGGTTCTCTTTCCACGGCCTGGACGCTTTCGCCTTCTTCGGGGGTCTAGAGAAGCTGTTGGGGGGACCGCTCTCCGCCCAGGACACTGCCTTCCGGAAGCTTCTCACAGAGCATCTCATCCACTTTGCTAAGGAGGGTGAGCGAGGGGCTACAACACAAACACCTCTCCTAGATTGGTTCAACTCAGTGTTCAATATTAATTCAGGAAATAGACATTTACCACATACCTTTCCTCATCTCTCTATGCCTCTCCTCCTCTCATCCTCTCTATCCCTCTCCTCCTCTCCTCCTCTCATCTCTCTATCCCTCTCCTCCTCTCCTCCTCTCTCCTCTCCTCCTCTCATCTCTCTATCCCCTCCTCCTCTCATCTCTCTATCCTTCTCCTCCTCTCTATCCCTCTCCTCCTCTCATCTCTCTATGCCTCTCCTCCTCATCTCTCTATCCCTCTCCTCCTCTCATCTCTCTATGCCTCTCCTCCTCTCATCTCTCTATCCCTCTCCTCCTCTCATCTCTCTATCCCTCTCCTCCTCTCATCTCTCTATCCCTCTCCTCCTCTCATCTCTCTATCCCTCTCCTCCTCTCATCTCTCTATCCCTCTCCTCCTCATCCATCCCTCTCCCATCTCCTATCCCCTCTCCTCCTCTCATCTCTCTATCCCTCTCCTCCTCTCTATCCCTCTCCTCCTCTCATCTCTCTATCCCTCTCCTCTCTACTCCCTATCCTATCCCCTCTCCTCCTCTAAACTCTCTATCCCTCTCTCCTCATCTCTCTATCCCTCTCCTCTCTCATCTCTCTTCCCTCTCCTCTCTCCTATCCCTCTCCTCCTCTCATCTCTCTATCCCTCCTCCTCCTCTCTATCCCTCTCCTCCTCTCATCTCTCTATCCCTCTCCTCCTCTCATCTCTCTATCCCTCTCCTCCTCTCATCTCTCTATCCCTCCCCCCCTCTCTCTCTATCCCCTCCTCCTCCTCTCTATCCCTCTCATCTCTCTATCCCTCCTCTCATCTCTCTATCCCTCCCCCCTCCCTCCCCTCTCTCTATGCTCTCCCTCCTCTCATCTCTCTATCCCTCTCCTCCTCCTCATCTCTCTATCCTTCTCCTCCTCATCATCTCTCTATCCCTCTCCTCCTCTAATCTCTCTATCGCTCTCCTCCTCATCTCTCTATCCCTCTCCTCCTCATCTCTCTATCCCTCTCCTCCTCTCATCTCTCTATGCCTCTCCTCCTCTCATCTCTCTATGCCTCTCCTCCTCTCATCTCTCTATCCCTCTCCTCCTCATCTCTATCCCTCTCCTCCTCTCATCTCTCTATCCCTCTCCTCCTCTCTTCTGTTCTCTCATCTCTTCTTCTGTTCTTTCCATCCCTCTCTCCTCCTCTATTGCAGGTAAGATGCCGGAGCAGTGGCCAGAGTACCCAGCAGCCACTGCTCTCCTGAACCATACCCTCTCTGTGGTCCATGATTACTCTGCTGAACGCTGCCAACTGTGGGAGAAGAACGGCTTCTACCCCTACGCCTGGGTCAACTGACCCCTGACCCCTAACTCCTACTGCTGAGGACTGAATCCTACGCCTGGGTCAACTGACCCCTGACCCCTAACTCCTACTGCTGAGGACTGAATCCTACGCCTGGGTCAACTGACCCCTGACCCCTAACTCCTACTGCTGAGGACTGAATCCTACGCCTGGGTCAACTGACCCCTCACCCCTAACTCCTACTGCTGAGGACTGAATCCTACCCTTGGGCCCCTGACCCCTAACTCCTACTGCTGAGGGCTGAATCCTACCCTGGGTCAACTGACCCCTGACCCCTAACTCCTCTGCTGAGGACTGAATCCTACGCCTGGGTCAACTGACCCCCGACCCCTAACTCCTACTGCTGAGGACTGAATCCTACCCCCTGGGTCAACTGACCCCTAACTCCTACTGCTGAGGACGAATCCTACGCCTGGGGCAACTGACCCCTGACCCCTAACTCCTACTGCTGAGGACTGAATCCTACGCCTGGTCAAATACCCCTGACCCCTAACTCCTACTGCTGAGGACTGAATCCTACGCCTGGGTCAACTGACCCCCCCCCCTAACTCCTACGCTGAGGGCTGAATCCTACGCCTGGGTCAACTGACCCCCTAACTCCTACTGCTGAGGGCTGAATCCTACGCCTGGGTCCACCTGACCCCTGACCCTAAATCCTACTGCTGAGGACTTAATCCTACCCTGGGTCAAATGGCCCCGTGACCCCTAACCCCCTATTGTTGAGGACTGAATCCTACGCCTGGGGCAACTGGCCCCTGACTCCTACTGGGTGAGGGCTGAATCCTACGCCTGGGTCACTGAACCCCCAACTCCTACTGCTGAGGACTGAATCCTACGCCTGGGTCAACCCGACCCCTGACCCCTAACTCCTACTTGCTGAGGAACTGAATCCTACCCTGGGTCAACTGACCCCTAACTCCTACTTGCTGAGGACTGAATCCTACGCCTGGGTCAACTGACCCTAACCCCTAACTCCCCCACTGCTGAGGACTGAATCCTACGCCTGGGTCAAATGACCCCCCGACCCCTAACTCCTTTCTGCTGAGGACTGAATCCTACGCCTTGGGGCACTGAACCCTAACTCCTACTGTTGAGGACTGAATCCTACGCCTGGGTCAACTGACCCCTAACTCCTACTGCTGAGGACTGAATCCTACGCCTGGGTCAACTGACCCCTCACCCTAACTCCTACTGCTGAGGACTGAATCCTACGCCTGGGTCACCTGACCCCTAACTCCTATTGCTGAGGACTGAATCCTACGCCTGGGTCAACTGACCCCTGACCCCTAACTCCTACTGCTGAGGACTGAATCCTACGCCTGGTCACTGACCCCTAACTCCTATTGTTGAGGACTGAATCCTACGCCTGGGTCAACTGACCCCTCACCCTAACTCCTACTGCTGAGGACTGAATCCTACGCCTGGGTCACCTAGGTTACAGTATCTACCCCTAGAACAATTGACCAACTGTCTAGAGCAATGGGAACATGTCAAGACAGATGGAAACCATGAAGACCAAAATGAAGGATGATTAGTACTTATAGCCACTGTATGTGTTCTGTTGTGTGGTGAAATGCAGATGCATTGTGTGAGTTCTGGTGTATACAGTATTTTGCCTTTAGGTTTGTTGAAGGATAAAGTACGAGTTTAGAGAAAAGGGAAGAATATGTTGGTATGGAAGAAGATAATGGTAATTGTAATATTTCTGCTCTGTTTTGTGGTAGAGATGGTTGTAAGAGGAGACATTAGTGAGCTGTGTCTTATCGTTATTCATAGTTTTGGCTACTGTTACTCGCACTAAGAATTTAAATGAAGATGCTTACTCTTTAATGGAAATCAAATCTGTTGTGTATACATCGTACCTGTATGCAATGAGGAAACATATATTATGAAGGGCTTTTATGCTTACATTTTAGTCATTTAGCGGACGCTCTTATCCATTTTTTTTTATTTTTTTTTATACTGGTCCCCCGTGGGAAACGAACCCACAACCCTGGCGTTATAAATGCCATGCTCTACCAACTGGGCTACAAAGGGACTGTAGCCAGTTTCCTGTGTTTCTCTGTTCTTCTCTTTCTGTAATGTGTCTGGATGGTGGCTAGTCATACATTTTTCGTTAGTTTGAAAACCATTCTTGGGTTGTTTTTTACTCAGGTAATCTGCTTTATCATGCCATGACCTAAAATTTAAGGTTCATTCACACGCACTAATACAAATAATAAAACACAAAGAAAGAAGTATTTGTCTTAAAAAAATATATATATATATAATTTCAAATATACAGTATGTTTCATAGCCTAGAATCAAGTTCAAGTTCATCTTATTATCCCAGAGAGAAATGTTGTTTTTGCAGGCATGGGCAGCACAACAGACAATAAAAGTACAATACAATAAAAAGTAAAATGCGAACCACCTTTCACATGTTCAGGGCCCACTTTTGGTCCCAAACCACAGTTTAAGAAACCCTTTTGCTAATCAATTGAAGGTGTCCGTACCGTTTCCAATATTAGGAAATTACATTTGTTTTGTGATGTGATTTTGTAAGACAGAGATATGGGTTAAATGAATGACTGTTTTGACTGAACATAGGTTTGGGTTTTCATACCCACAATAGAATTACGTGTATTGGTGCTGTGGCTTAGTTGGTTAAAGCGCCTGTCTAGTAAACAGGAGATCCTGAGTTAGAATCTCAGCAGTGCCTTTTCAAGCTGTTCATTGTACCCATTGGTGGAGAAGATCAGAGGGGAGTTACCTTTGGTTTTCTCATCCAATTTGTTTTGAGAAGTAGGCGTGGCGAGAGGAGAGAGGACGTCAGGAGTATGCAATTGAGATATCCAATTTTACGGAAAAAGGCCAGTTTTTGAAAGAGTTAAAACGTAACAACTTTGTAAAGCTGAACTGGCTAACAACTCAAGCGTTTAGCCGTCTTGTACACGTCACTGTCCCATCCTGACTAACCTCTAAGAGCAAGCTCTGGTGCTAGCCGTGATCGTATAGTGGTTAGTACTCTGCGTTGTGGCCGCAGCAACCCCGGTTTGAATCCGGTTCACAATGTCATGGCAAAAGGGCTGTATTTTGAACGAGTTACAACTTACTGTGTAAGCAAAGAAACTCAACAAGTCTTCCATTTGACAAAGTCCCTCAACTCATTTTAGGGTTTGGGGTTTAAAATGAGGGTTTTTACCCTTTAACAAAAAAG